CAAACAAAGTCCTTTCCCAATGACCACTGTCTTATGTACCTATCCAAAGACTTCCTAAGTGGTTCATCTCCAACCAACCGAAGACTTGGCAACAAATACCGCATATTTAAGAAGGTAATATTTTACCTCTTTCCTCCAACAGGTTTGAGGAAAGCACACAATTACAATCAGCCAGACAGACCAATGTTAAAACACTACCAACAATAACACATATCCAAAAAACTAAATACTCTTTTTCAGTTTATGGTCTCTGGCACTTGGTTGGTTGTCTCAACTCCATCCATAATTTAGCTGACTTATCCTCTCACATATACTAATGCACAGGCCAGCTGATCTTCCTGTATGTCAAACAAACTACCTCCTCCTGTCTCATTCTTCTTCCATCCTCAAGAAACATCCAGTTAGTGCCACTATACCAATTTTAATGAATTTGGCAAGCTAGACTTACCATTTTCTGGGTAGTTGGGTGCAATCAATGCCTCTGATGTTATGGATGGAGTGAAACTCCTGGTCTGGCTGTCATCTGAGCCATTTTGTGCTGGAACACCTTTTAAAAAGAAGAAGACATTGAAAATAAATATAAGTTGTAAAAAAAAAAAGGTAATCAACTAATCAGTTCTGAATGTCATCATTCAAGAAAAAAATTACTCTGTCATCAAGAAAACTGATGACAAAGTAAAAGATTATTAATAAAGATTCCTAAAAGTCTTTTAAAGGTAGTCTTTCAAACAAGACCACAAATATTACTATCTTGTCTCCCCCTCCCCCATAGTTCACTTGGACATACAGTACTCTATTTTCTAGTCAGTTTTTCTCAGGCTCCATGTATGCTCATTTGGTTGGGATTTTGACTCACCAAGGTGACCAGGGAGATAGCTTTTACAAGTGTGTGATAAAAGTTGTTAAGACAAAAACCATACAAAGAAAGGATGTCACAAAAGACATTGTATAGCGGTTTGAGAGTTGGACAAGGATGCTGGGAGACCAAGGTACAAATCCCTCTTGGTCATGGAAATCCCTGGGTGACCTTAGGCAAAGTCACACTCTCTAAGCTTCAGAGGAAAGCAATGGCAAACCCTCTTGCTAAGAAAATCCTGGGATAGGGTCACTATAAGTTGTTAACAATTTGATTGCACACAACAACAAATGCACAGGACAAAGCTGATTTCTATCCATTATATTTGAGACTTTAAGAATTGTTAACACCATTAACCATTAATTATTGTTAATTATTAATACTAATCTTGATATTATTTTTCTTTAGTTTAAAAGGTTCATCACTTACACTGCAACTCTATATACTTTCCTAGGAATAAGTCCCACTGAACTCAGTGAAATGGACTGAGTTTTTAACTCCTTTTCCTTCTTTTTTTGTTTGTTTGGTGAGGTATGGATGTTTATTTAAAGTGTGCCAATTACATCAGATCTGTCTACACCATTAGATTAACCATGTGCAAATGTAGGGTTGTGTTCTTTGCTTATATTTCTATTTTGCAGCACTCGAACATGTAAAACTCTAAGCATTTTGTGTTTTGCATGAGGCAGGCTAACCTCTATATTCTCAGAAGCCATGCTAATCACCAAGCTGCGGTTTTGAGGCCAGAAAATATATTTTGCTTCACCATTACAGCCTTTCTGAAGTGGTTACACTCTATAATTAAATCAACAACAAGGCTTTCAGAGCTGTAGAAGTGGAAATATATTTGAGCATGACCAGTGTGCACAAAACCCAAAGAGAGATGTTGCATTAAAATGCATAGTACATATGTCTTCATTGAATAAAATGGGGAAACCATTTTATTTTTCTTACAGGAAACTGTGGACAAAGCATTTGCTAGCTTTACATTACATATTGTAGAGTCAGCAGGGGATTTTTTTTTCAAACACATACACACACCTCAAAGCTATGAACTGTGGGCTGTCATTTGGCTACTGCTGTTCTAGAGTTTGGACAGTAAATTGATGGACCCAAGACCCATATTTAGACTTCCATTCTATGTTTTGCTGGCTGTCAGTTCAGTCACAATATGAGCATGCTTACATGTGCAGGATGGAGAACTTGGTCCCCAGCCCACTGTTATTCCTGATCTTTCAAGAAAATTGACAGATTTTACAGACTGCCTCCTTTCTTCATAGCCCCACCTTCTAAACAATACAAAGCAAGTCCAAATGGAAAAAAGGAACAAAAATAAAAAATAAAACTGATGTTGTGCTAGTATTATAGACTTCTTAATTGTTGTTGTTATGTGCTTTCAAGTTGAAATCTAGGGTTTCATTGACAATATTTATTCAGAGAAGGTTTACCACAGCCTTTCTGAAAGACTGAGAGTGTGTGACTGGCCAAGGTCACCCAGAGGGTTTCCAAGCTGAGCAGGGATTTGAAGACTGATCTGGGTTTCTAGTCCAACATTTAAACCACAATACCTTGCTGGCTCTCCTATAGGATCCCTGCTCTCCTATAGAATCCCTGCACATGTCCATTCTCTTGTATTACAGTGCAGCTGTGTACAACACTGAAGACCATCTCTGCCTTGTTTGTGTAGACACCTTTGTGTGGCTGAATTACCGTATCTCCATCTTACACATGGGATGCTGGGAAATGATGACTAATGGTCTAATGGTCAAACCTCATGGACCTCCATCTCAGAGCTTACACCTTTCTAAAAATCATGATTCAGAATTGTGGAAGACATATTTAATCTCTATTATACCCTTAACTGACTAAAGCAGTTTCATACATGCATGCTCTTTACTTGACTACTCTAGCATCAAGCAGTAGTTTGTGTCAAATAGTGTAGTGTCAGGACACCTTTGCATCTAGGACTGCATGTGGCCCTCAGCCCACTTTCAAAAGTCCATTGTCAATAATGAGTTCAAACCACAGCATGGAAAAGTTATTTTTTTACAATGCCCAGAATCTCCCATTGGCATGGCAGGTGGGGGATTTTTGAAAATCATGTTCCAAAAGGTTATATTCCCCAGTTCCTTGTGCACACGTCTGATAGGACTTATTTGTTTGTATCCTGGCAACCTGTTAGAAAGGAAAGAAAGACAAAGAAAGAGAACGAGGGTGAGAGAAGAATGTGAGAAAAAGAAAAACAAATAGAAAAGGTGGCCTGTGTTTGGTTCTTTTTGCACCCACCATTGGCTTCAGTCCCACCCACTACTGACAGATTACCCTGCAAAAAGGAATATAGCCTTCAATAATTGTTATCCAAGAAGTAGTGCCACACCATCTGATATCTCTAAATATGAATTTTAATTTCTTCTGACATAATTTCAAACTCAGTGCATTTCAGTGGTGAAAGTGTAGAGATCACAGGTTCAGCTGCATGCTGTAAAGGCTACAGTCTTAAACTTACATATGGAGTACATGCCACTGAACTCAGTGGCTCTTCATTCTCAGTAGTGCATGTAAGATCGCACTGCAAATCTTGTTGAGGAATTGGACCATGTGGTGTAATGACATGTGTTAATCAGCCCTTACTTTCAAATCAAACACCAATATATGTAATTAACATACAACAGTTTTAGCACATCTGATGCCCTCCTAATGTGTTAACACTACAACTGCCCTCATCTAGGATGGCCAATGGCCATGATGGTAGTTGTAGACCAACACAGATCACTAGGATGGGGAAGAATGACTTACCATATGCTAGTCCTTAAACTGTCTTTTTCTTGATACTCCATAAACTAAGAACATTGCATGCCACCTTCTACCTGTAAATAAGAGAGATTATCTGGGCAAACCTATACATTTTAGGTGACTGGAGGTCAAGCAAGATAAGGGATCCTGATTATACAGATAGATTTCCCCCATTTAATCAATGTAAATTACTGCCACTCTCCTAATGCTCCAATAGAAGATTCCTGCCTCAAGTCTGTCCAAACCCATTAGATGTGAAATTACCTCCTAACAATGGCCAATGTCTTTTTTGGTCAAGACCTGTCTGGGGAAGAAGGTCAGTCCACAGATAAGACTGGCTAGAGTATGGAGATGATGACAAAGTGGGAGGATTTCCTATTCAAAGGGAACAAAAGTCAAATGTTCTTGGACAGGTGTCACTGCTATGTTGTGTTGGAAGAGGAGGAGATGCTGTTAACAGACCTGGCTGATGGGGAAAGACTGTGTTAATCACCATGGGTGGAAGATGGGAGACGAACTGATGTGCAAATATAATGCTTGAATCACTTCAAAAAAATAAAAGGATATACACATGCACAGAGATTGAAGTAAGATAGCTGATAAAGGAGGCAAAGACAGCTGCTGAGCTCACTCAACACGCAACAGGAACAAAGGCTGCAAAGGTAGTGGGTGGCAATGGATTTGCCTAAGTTCAACAATGATCTTAAAACACCAATCTGTTAACTGCTTACCCCATCTCCACCCCAACAAACAAAACATAGGAGGTATTTTTAAATGGAAACAACAGCCATAAAAGGGCAGGGGCCCCTCTGAGCAGGCCATTAAACTGAAGCATCATGTTAATATATTCACTGTCTACTGGATAAGTGCCCCTACCACAACACCCACCCCAGAAAGGCCATAGTCAAAGGACAAAGTCGTGTTTTATTGTGTCCCTGTCTCTCACACATCCCACACATACAACCCCTACACACCCTTGTTACATTGTTTGGATTAGGGCCACACACTAAGATTTTTTACAGAATGGATCAGAATTCACACTGTTCTTCATAAATTTGTGGGAAAGAACTTGAGATGCAAAACTGATATGGGAGAAAAGTAAAACTGGCAGATTTGTTCACTCTATTTGAATTTTTAAAGGGGGGGGAATGTTCTATTGAAAAGCCTCTACAGAGTGCCCCCCATTTGCATGTGTGTGTTGTGTGCCTTCAAGTCGTTTCCAACTTATGGTGACCCTAAGGCGAAGCTATCATATGGTTTTCCAGGCAACATTTGTTCAGAGGGGGTTTGTCATTGCCTTCCCCTGAGACTGAGAGCATGTGACCTGCCCAAGGTCAGCCAGTGGGTTTCATGACCAAGCTGGGAATCAAACCCAGGTCTCCAAACCCATAGTCCAGCACTCAAACCACTACACCATGCTGGCTTTCAGTGCATACATGTGAACGGTGTTGATTTGAAATATTTATGTGAATAAAAGTAATCACTTAAAACACATGGTTTGCCTGCAAGAGGAGAACATTTCAATTTTTGACCTGGGGAAAAACTGTCTGAAACTCTGTACAACTAGACAGACTAGTGCTCTGAGCCAGTCTGAGGAAACTTCTTCCTATGTTCTTAACATTTATACAACAGTCCTCTAGCCATTCAATGAAGCTTATGAACATAACTTAAATACATAAAACTTTTAAGCAGCAATCAAAATTAATCCTCAGTATAGTCCATAACATCACAGAGCAGAAGAAACATTCGAGAGAGACTATTTTAGCCACCAAGGAGATTACTCATTGAAACAGATTCTCCATCCACCCATAAATGTCTTCTGCTGTTATCTCTTATCACTGACTGGAGGTAACAGAGTATTTAAATATCCCATACAGAATGAGACAAGCTTTGTGGGCAGGAAAGCCTTGGCAGGAAACTGAGCAATGGCTTTGCAGGAAAGAAAGCTGTTGCACTGGGGCTTGCATCTGATTATGCATGCATAGAATTAAGCAGGGAGAGAAAGCAGGTCATCTTATTGGGCCTATTGAAGAAGAAGAAGGGGCCTCCCTCCACCCACCATCATCTGGAGGGAGAGAAGGCAGGCTATCTTATCAGGCCTAGCCTGAAGAAGAAGAAGGGCCCTCCAGTCTATCTGCTTTGGCCCAGGCTTTTGAGGGAGAGAAGATCTGATGGACTTATTTCCCTTCCCCACCACCATCCCCTTCTCCTTTTGTGTCTTGTCTTTTTAGATTGTAAGCCTGAGGGCAGGGAACCATCATTAATCCATTTGTAAGCCGCCCTGATAGCCTTTGGCTGAAGAGCGGGGTATAAATACTTCATAATAATCATAATAATCATAATCATAATCATAATCATAATAATAATAATAATAATAAGGTTTAGTTTGAATGCTTGGTGGGGAAGTGTCTAACATGTTACATCTGATCCTGCCCATTTTGTTTTGGCATGTATCCCTTACTTTCATCTTTCGCTAGAATATGACCTCCAAGATCCTTCCCAAATTGGACTTCAACCATGAACCAAAACAGATTCCCCACCCCACTTTAGCTTTTGTTTAGTTCAGTCTTTTGTCAACCCAGCATTCTCTCAATGTATTGTACTACAATTTCTGTCATTCAGAGCCAGTATAGGAATGATGGGACCTCTAGGACATCTGGAGGACTCTGGGTTAGAGGAAGCTTTGTTGCTGTTGTGTGTCTTCAAGTAGTTTCTGACATATGGGGTTTTCTTGGCAAGATTTGTTAAGAGGAGATTTGCCATTGCCTTCCCTTGAGGCTGAGAGATGTGACTTGCCCGAGGTCACCCAGTAGATTTCATGGCCAAGCTGGGAATCAAAGCCTGATCTCCAGAGTCATAGTCCAACACACAAACCACTACGCCATGCTGGCTCTCAGAAGCTGTATTACCAAAAAGCAAAAGATGCTTCCTTAACTGGCACTGAGGTTAGAAAATTCTTACTTCTGTTGGTATCGATGGTTTAAATCAGGGGTCGGCAACCTTTTTGAGCTGGGGGCCGGGTTGCTGTCCCTCAGACAATTGGGGGGGCGGAAGCACCATAAATAAATAAATAAATAAATTTTTAAAAAACATTTAAAAATATGCATGCACACTCTCTCAGCTCCAGAAAAGCCATGGCAAAAACCCTGTGGAGATTTTGCCAAGAAAACCCCAAGAACAAGTAATAACAACAACAATAATCAATATCATCATGGCGGGTGGTGGCGGCGGCGGTGGCAGCGGCAGGACCGGCCTTGGGCCGGTCCAAAGGCCTCAGGGGGCTGCATTCGGCCCCCGGGCCTTAGGTTGCCTACCCCTGGTTTAAATGGTCGATGGCTACTAAGGTACTGGCAATCTGAAAGAGCACAGAGTTTATAAAAGAAGGAGGCATTCCCAAGGTTTGGATGGTTTACAGAGCACAAAGAAAGCTGTTTCTCAGTTTAGCCATTATGTCATCAAACATTTTGGCTAGAAACAGACACAAGGAATGCAAAAACACACATAGATGCCGGCATGCGAGATATTTGGATAAGTATTTGATAAACAGAAATAATTGTTCATGTGAATTAGATCAAAGTGGTTTGTTAGATCTCTTTCTTGAGGTTCAAGTGTGCATGTATGAATATAGTGGTAGCAAAATGAATGTGATATGCATGAAGCCTCACATCACACTCTTAAGGAAAATATTCTACACCACTATTGCTTTGGCAGGATATAATCCCTTCCACATTGAAATAAAGAAGTTTTTTTTAAAAAACAAAACAAAACACAAACCAAACAACCTTTTTGTTTTTCCATTATTCAATCTGTTTTCCCATAAAGTTTATGGAGCAGCAACAATTAGATGAGTCTAAGTTACAAAGAAAAAAAACAAACAATACAAGGCAACAACTTTATCAGATTCTAAGGAACTATTGTCCCCAAGTTGTTGAGGAGGGGTGAAGGGGGAGCCTCATTAGTGGTTAATGAAAACACAGGGAATTAAACAACTAATAGCACAGAAGTGCCTGTAATTAGCTTGTACCCCCAGATCCCCCAAACTATCACTGCTTGGTACAGATTCAAAAATAAGATGGTATCCCAGGGAAGAAACAAGTAAGGCAACACAGGCACAAACATCTCACAGGAGGTCTAGGGCCTTGCCACTTTAGTTCCACAGAAGCATATTAAGCACTGCTGCATCTTGCCTCTGATTTTAACAGCATGGCTAGGAAAGACAGTAGTAAACTGGAGTACCTATTAGGCAACCTGCTTTTTATAAGGCCACTGTGAGCCCCTGCCACGCTGCAATGACAGGCCCAAAGGTGCAATGCGTAATTAATGAAGAGAGAGTGCCTGATACATATTGATTCAAAGTGAGCTACGCTGGCCTGGGATTCTGTCTCCAGTGATGCAGAGCCTGAAAGGCAGAAACGAAAACTCTAAACTGGAACAGAATTAACCATTCTACTACATGAATAACAACCTGGTTAAAACAGGAGGTGGTGGTGGCTTGTAGGATTAAACCTAGTGTTTCTGAGCTTGTGCAGAGTGCCTGGTCTGACTCAACACTGATGACCACAACAAAGCCCTCCCTATCAGGCACTGGAGACTGCAGGTTTCAAGGCAGATGGTGCAACTTCCAGGAAGGAAATAATTTTAAAAATTAATTGTGAGACCTTTCTACAGTACATGTGGACAAAGTGCAGCCACCCCGATGTTCAAAGCAGCCCTACAACTTCAAAGCAGCCCTCACCAGCCCAACCTGTGCTGATGAATGCTGGGAGCTGCAGTCCAACAAGGGGCACACTTTGATCATCTACAGAATAGCCGATAAGGTTGGTTCATGGAGAATGGCTCTTCAAGTGCATGGTCAGTGCTTACACTTAAAGGGAAGAAATGCAGAACAAACATGTGCACTAAGGAATCAGTTTGGAGTTGATCAGAATCTCCTTGTGCTGCTCCCAGACTTAACTAGGGGATAGATTCAGTCCTATCACTGGGCATGGCAATATGGCTATGGACGTTATCACACGAGGAATTGTGGGGAGAAAGTGGAAATAAACCGGACGAGTGGAAGACTTTAATTTACGGGATTTGTCCCGTTCCGCCTCGTCTGATAACTAAATTCGAATTTAAAAGGGGGTTAATTCGAACAAAAACCTGATCTTTTCAAATCCTCAAAAATCCCGAAAATGAAAAGATCAGGTTTTCGTTCGAATTAACCCCCTTTTAAATTCGAATTTAGTTATCAGAAGAGGCGGAATGGGACAAAACCCGTAAATTAAAGGCTTTCGCTCATGCCCGTTTATTTCCACTTTCTCCCCGTGACTCCCCGTGTGATAATGTCTTATGTAAGGCAAACTGACCTGGGGCATCACGAAAAAATGATCAATTGCTAGTTATTTAATTTGATCTTCTTTTATCTGTACTGCCAGTGATGGGAGAGATGTCTGTAGGCATTACTGACTCCTGTGCCAAAAGACAGCTGGCTTTGGGCATTCTGCACATTTATTGGGCAGAAGACTATTGGCTACTCTGCCTCAGGTAAGCATAATGCCTCCTTGGATTGTTCACCAAATGGTGAGTGCAGCAGTGGCCAGCTGTATTTTTGACACTAGGAACTCTCACAAACACTACAGACCCTCCCTACATTACAGCTGCAACAGGGGAACCCTGAAGAGTTTGACCTCCAACCAAAGTAAAACATTTTTTTCTTCTTAAATTTGAACTGGATTGGCATGTTTTACCTCAACACCTACCAAAATGTTCCTGATGCAAAAACATGAAGAATCCTTGAGGAATCCATTGTCCTCTGACTACAAAGAGGCCTGTGACCTCATAGGAATGGAGGCATATTGGATTGCAAGAGGGGTCCTTGTTGAAATGCAAATGGACTTTAAATTTCCTAGTCTTTGCAAATCTCTTACTAGCCACATTGCCAGGAGGAGGAGGGGCCAGCCTGCAAAAGATACCCTCCACTTACCATCATAACTAAGGACAGAAACATCAAAATGCAAGCATCTGACTAATATCTCCAATTTTTTCTCTTTAGTTTGTAACATGTTGCCTGATGAAGAAACCAGTGGAGCTTCAAAAGCTTGCAACAAGTAT